GGTAAACGTTAGAACCACTCAAACGGAATATTATCATATTTACCCAAGTACACCAAAAATTTCATTAGTGCTTTTTAAGTGCAGGATTGGCGGTGTATTACTGCATTTTATTTGAGATGTTTTTGTTGGTAGTACGGAGGGTATTTATTTATCAATGCAAAATAATAATTTTTATTTATTAAAACTTGTATTTAAACCGAATCCATTTCTATTTTGCGAAACCAAATAGCCGCCATTTTGCGGTAAGAGGAGTGCATCGCGTGAGCGGCTAATGCAGCGGGTGCGCGTCATCACCAACAGCCTCCTGAGCACAATAGCGGACAGAGTTGACGGTCCGTTCAATGAACGCTTCAACGCGCTGCATGTGGTGCCCTCCGCTCACGCGATATATGCAGCCGTAGACGCATACCACACCTAGAGGTGCCGGTGATGATTTTATACCGATTAATCGAATATCGAAGTTATAGCAGGTAAAAGAACTAATATTAATTGCTATTTCGGTAACTACTCTAGCCAACCATAAAGTTTTTAATGCGTGGGTGTGTAATGTAAAAAAATAAACAACTTCAAAAATACGTCACGACCATCGTGTGTGTTATTGTTTGGGCTGGCGATTTCGTTAGTAGCGTTTTTTAAGTTTACCCTGAATATAAATATTTATGAACTATACTTTAAGGAGTAATTTCATGGTAAACGTTAGAACCACTCAAACGGAACATTATCATATTTATTAAATTTTTATTGAATTGATATTCAATTATTTTGTGAAATTACTCCACTAGTTTGTTATAATTATTAATACAAAGATCGAACACTCAGAAGAAACACTCAGAAAAAATTCCTTCGGTATATTCTGTATATAATATTCTGGTACGGTATGCATACCGTGCCAGACGCTATACCAACTAAGCCACGGAACGAACCAACGGACCTCACGAATTTTTCTATGTGCTTGCGTCGTGTCTTTGTACTTGGTTTTTCAACGACTTTTTAGTCGTAGCGCCATCTATGAGAAATCTTTTGACAGATTTATCATCCGGATCCGGACCGGATCGAAGGAATTTTTTGTGAGTGTTTTTTCTGAGTGTTCGACCTTTGTATTAATAATTATAACAAATTATCATATTTATCCAAGTACACCAAAAATTTCATTAGTGCTTTTTAAGTGCAGGATTTGCGGTATTTTATTGCATTTTATTTGAGATGTTTTTGTTGGTAGTACGGTATTTATTTAGCAATGCAGAATAATATTTTTTATTTATAAAAACTTGTATTTAAACTGAATGCTTTTTTAATTTGCGAAACCAAATAGCCGCCATTTTGCGGTAGGAGGAGCGCATCGCGTGAGCGGTTAACTGGGCTGCCAAATAAATGTAAATATAATTAGACAAATATAATACAAAGTAATTATTGTATTTACTAATATAGTTTATAAGTTTATTACTAATTATATATGGATTCAGGTCCGAAATAAATGCTTATTATTATTATTATTATTATTATTATTATTATACATAAATAATAATGTGAATTGATACAAATGAAAATCAATAAAGCGAACTTATGAATGCATTCAAGAGTATACAGTGCGGAGCAAACAAATGGCATAAAATAACAACACATAGATTACAAAAAAATTACATTTTTTTCCTACATGTAACCATGATCTTTTTTAATTATATCAGATGCTTTCTCCGCAATCATTATTACTGGCATGTTAGTATTTCCACTCACTGTAGAGGACATAATACTAGCATCAACTACTCGTAGTCTCTTTACACCTCTTAAATTCAGTCTGTCGTCTGTGACCCCTACGCCTTCTGGACCCATCGCACAAGTCCCAGCAGGATGAAAAGTTGTAGATGCTGTATTTAGAATGAAACACTTCCAATACTCATGACTACCAAATTTTGTGTGACGACATTGACGAATTTCTAAGTTTATAATTTCTGATCCAATACTTCTAAAATACGTGGAATTCACAATTTGTATGAAATCTTCAAAGTAACGAACGTGTTTCTCCAGGTCGTTGACATTTGAGTAGTATCCCGTATAATATATAGGACTACTTCTAGGGTTTTTGTTCCGCAGTTTTATATATCCTCTGGACTCTGGGTGCAACATTGAAATGTAAGTAATTATTATTTCTTGTAGTAATCCTCTCTTGACTAAATGTGCACATGATATATCTTCTAATTGAAGTATGTATGAACAAAAAACTGGTGTCAATGCAGATGCAGCTGGTAGAGGGTACAAATACGATTGATAGTCAGGATATTCTTGAGATCTGTTCAAAGCAGCATGTCCTAAAACTGTTATGGCATTAGAGGCTAAACCTGTCAATACAGCTATATTGTCAACGATTGATGTCACTCCTCTTTCTCCCGTAAATACAATTGGAGAATAAATGTGATCGTGTAAATTTTTCCCAACGTTTGGTGAATCTAATACTATTTGAATTCCTGTTTCTTTCAAATGATTTTTCGGTCCAATACCAGATAGCATAAGAAGCTGAGGTGAATTAATTGCTCCCGCTGATAGTATTACTTCTTTATTGGCCATAACTTTGATTATTTTATTACTACATAGTTCAATTTCAACACCAATAGCAGTGAGACCTCTTAAGATGACTTTTCTTGCCAAAGTATTTTTTAAAACAAACAAATTTGGACGTTTTTTAGCAGCTTTCAAATAAGTTGCGGCTGTGCTCTGCCGAATTCCATTATCAGTGGTAAACATTTCTACAGAGTAACCTAATGATTGAAATCCCGTGTAGTCTAACAAGATATTATGGCCAAGTTCTTCAAAAGCTTGTAAATAGTTCTCAACAGTGCTTAGATCATTTTGAGTGACACCAATATATCCATTAGTTCCGTGTAGTTTTCCTGACACACTTTTAAGAATAGGTTTTATGTTGAATTTTTCACTTTTTTTGAAGTAATATAATAAATTCTTCCAATCCCAACCTTTGTTTCCAAATTCCCCCCATTTATTATAATCAGCTTTATTACCTCTGGCATAAGTCATGTAATTGCTGCCACTAGAGCCTGATAACATTTTTCCTCTTGGTAGGCGAACCGTTTTTGTTCTGTGTGCTTGACTTGAATAACCATCATTTGCAGAATAATAGTTCCAGTCTTGTTTAGGATGATCAGCTATAGGAAATAAACCTGGAATCTAGAAATAAAAGTTTACTTAACATTAAAACGTTTTGCTGTAAATGTTAATGAGGTAATTTAACAAAAATTATACGAATTTAAGTTCTATTGTTTATACCTCGGATGTTAAATCAGGCTCACCGCCAGCTTCTATAAGTAACACAGTCCAATTGCTAATTTCCGTTAGTCTGTTAGCTAAGACACATCCCGCAGAACCAGCACCAATTACTATGAAGTCGAAACTTTGTCTATCTGAAAAATTTATTAGATCTTTTTATTTAGATTTTTGGCTGTTTTCTCTTCCGTTCTTTTTATAAAACAACCTGGCATTCGCCAAGTCAAATATGCCGCGGCTTATTTGAAATTATTTTCAATATTTATCCGAATAGAAAGACAATAGTTTTTCCTCTTCTCATAATAACTGGTAATATATCAATTTGCGTATATCATAATTAAATACTCAATACTTTATTGCATACCACAACTTTATTGCATACCATACAAGGTGGTAGGTAACATAAATTTAGTTCATTATGGATCATGTAAGGGCACGGCAAATGATAAAAATCTGATCAAATTCAACTAATTCTAACCTTGTTCTATTTAATAAAGCCTTAAAATTATAACAGATACATATTGCTCATACTGCATTTGTTGAGAAAAAAAAATTTATTTTAATTGACATAACAAACGGACTTGATGAATGCAATGATTATCGCGAGACTGGTAGTCTTAATCTGTCTATGTGTCGGAAGGAATATTTAGTCGGAATGTCTTCGCGCTTTGTAAATAAATTGAAATTTTCAGGATGTATATACACGGTAAAGTAAGAATTTTGTGCTGTTGGAAGAAAGGTTTGTAACTGTGGGTCTGTTTTATATTCGTACAAGTTTTTCTGAAGAGTAACCAGGTTTGATGCATCTGTACTGTTATCCCACAGAATGACACCCTTTTTTTTTTCTTTTCTTTTGTTTTTTTTTTGACACCCTAACTTTGCCCAGTATAAACGTACGAATAGTATGTGGTCAGTGCCGTTTGTATGTTCGTGTTTTTTTTTTATTTCACGGATTACATACGCGAAACTGGATATTTTACTACTTATTTTATTAATATGCGCTTACCAATTGATGTTTGAGTCAATAACTATGCCTAGCTAATTTGGAATTGCTTCCTTACCCGTGATGGTGGCATGTGTTGCAGTTATATCGGGTGTCGATCGAAAGGATGAAAGAAGAGAGAAAAAAATCTGCAACAGTTGAATTGTGGGCATAGTAGCTTCCACAATTGATGCTGCTAAAATCTCTACTATGCTCATATTGTTGGTTTTAAATTTATCTGCAAAGAAAAATATTGCTTGCATTTCTTTCATACCATGTTAGTACTTAAGTTGATATACCGGACTCTGAAAAAGCAAAATAATTATCGATGTAAAGTAAACATTTACGTAGAAAAATAGAAGTGTAATTATATCTTTAACATTAATATTTCAAACGTTTAAATGTTGTTTTGTCTCATAATTTACTCTTTCATGAATCACGCAATACATTAAAAAATATAGTAAAATACTTACGTAGTTGTTTCTTGTAATGCGACAACAGCATAAATACATTTATATAAGTGTATATAAGTGTTTATGGTAGTTTATTGCTCGTCATTTTATCTTTATTTCAATTGAAATATCTACAGTCGCTTCGAAAATTGTTTATGAAAGAAAAAATAAACAAAATTCTTTACGATTATAGTATTTAAGATCCCTTAAATCTAAACCTTTATCTGTAGGCTCTGTATGTTCGAGTCCTGTCAGATCAAAGGAAATTTTATTTGTGTTCGATAAACTGATGCAGTATTTTCATAATAATAACATATAAATATCATGGTAGTTACTATACAATACAAACTTTTTTACTTTATTACTAACAAACTTTATTAACATAAACTTTATTAACAAACTTTATTACAAACTTTATTACTATACAAACTCAACTTTTTGACTCCCACACGTAATTTCAGGGTTAACAAAGTATTTGACATACCTATAGCTTCAACCAATTACAGAAAAAATTCGTTTCTGCTGCGAGCTTGCAACAACATCAATAACATAGTTAATAAAATAGATATTGATATCTTTAATACCAAAATTGTCACAGCGAGAAAATTACTCAGCGACTTCTTTTTTATTTCTTAGGAAAGTCTTTTTTATTTCTTAGGATAGTCTTTTTATTAAGTTATATTGTAAAATTCTATTTCTGTTGATTTTTTTTATTAGAGTGCTTACTTATTTAAGTTACTTTATTTCTACAAGTGTAAACTTATTTAGCTTACTTCGTTATTTAATTTAGAAATACAAATGTATATACTTCTAGTTTACCATTAATAAATAAAATAAAAAAAAATAAAAATAAGTAAAACATCATAATAAATTACAATTATTAAAGCGACATCTCTTGTCAACCTCTGATAGCTTTAAAGGTATTTGCTTGAGTAAAGACAAATAGATCATATATTTTTAACCGACTTCAAAAAAGGAGGAGGTTCTCAATTCGTCTGTATGTTCTTTTTTTTGTTGTTACGCGATAACTCCGGTATTTGTAAACCGATTTTCAGGATTCTTTTTTTGTTGGAAAGGGGGTACTTCCATAGTGGTCCCATTTCATTTTGAAGAAAAGCATCCACCTCGAAGTGTGGCTGTTCACGCATGAAGATTCATTTTTACAAATAGCGCCTAACTTTAATTTAGGAGCAATTACTTTAATGGTTGATTTTGCTATTTCTCCAATTCAAGGCGTTTTTCTCTCAATATACTTTGAGTAGTGAAAACCGATTTTTATTATCTCCAGTATCAAGTGCTGTATAGTGGCGAACTAGCGGATATTTCAATAAAACTTCAAAAAAACCGACCTCAAAAGTAAGGTGAATTACGTCTATTTGCTAATAGACGTAATTTCACTTACTTTTGAGGTCGGTTTTTTTAGTACTCTGTACTGAGATTATTATTAAGGTACGCTACGGCAAAAAACCCAAAACAAAAAACATAGATCTGTAACAAATGGATAGAGAAATTCGAATAGTCTGTTGACTTTATTTGTAGCTCTGTTGGTGGAGCGGTTGCCCTAGATTGGCATAAAGACGCAGGTTTGATTCCTGTCAGATCGAAGGATTTTTTCTTTGTATTCTTTTAAATAGGTCTTTTAAATTTTACCTATTCAAAACGAAAATTCATAAATTCTTTTAAATAAAATATGTTAGCGCGTCGCAGCCCATTTCATCTATAAATTTAAGATAAATATATACATACATACATAATCTTACGCTCTAATCCCACAGGAGGGGAGGGATAGGAAGAGACCACGGAATGCCTCTTTACTTCTTTTTTCTCTATCCTGACACAACTCTCGAGCGTCACATACATCAACTACCCTTTTCATATTATATATACTCTGTATATGTACAGTTATTACAAATAATACATATGCCAAGAAATACTATCATAAAAAACAGACCCAAATTTCCATAGCTATCTATGTAAATATATACGTATATATTTACACAGATAGCTATGGAAATTTGGGCCT